AATTGAAATGGCATTTTTGTTTTATGAATACTGGAAAAAACCTTCAGACAAGAAATTTCGTTGTTATTTGTTCAAACTATGCCACATAAATGAGAAAAAAGCAAGAAATTTTGGTTTTAGGACAAAAAATTGTTCTTATATTTTCCATAAAGAAATAACCTATTTCTTTTGCTGTTTCATTTACTGTTTGGTTCAATCACTTTTATCTATATCACCACTTTCCGGGTAAATCATTTACAAAACTAAACCCTATTTACCTGAGAAAATCATCATATTTGATTTGGAGAAAAAATAAAAAATGAAAGTGATATTTAAGAAAACTGAAAGAGAAGTACAGATTAGAATTAGTGGTTTTTAATGGCAAAAACATGTAGAATTGAGTGAATTATAATGAGTTTCAATTACCCATAAATGAACAACCACAACACTTTTTTGTTCCATTTTTGAAAAATGCGAAAGATTCAAACTGCAAAATGAATTAGTGTTAGGAATCACACGTTGAAAGGTAAGACCTCGTTAATTCTTAGCTCGCACAAGTTTAGTCATCTGAGGGTTGTCGTTCGTAGGGGTGTGACAGCTGGTTAACGAAAAAACAGATTTTAGTACAGATTTTTTTTCTCATGTAACATACTTTCGAGTGGGGATGGATGCATTATAAACGCATCACCCTGTACGAGTATTATTTTAACCTACTCGCGCTCTAAATATAATGTTAGGGGAACGTCGAAAGGAAGAGATAAATTTCTCGAATTTACGATGTTTTCAATGCGTACACGAAAATAGACAAATCTCGTCAAATTCCTCAGCGCTGTTCAATATTTATGTGGGGAATAGGATGATAGGAGAATCTCGATGGAAATGTTCCGGTTCGATTCAGACTGATTTGTTTACGTAAACCCATTCATGATCTGATGAGGGAGGAAATATTCCTGAAATTGGTCCGATTTTCTCTCTTAACATTAATGACAATTTATTCCGGAGGTTACCAATATAATGTCATCAATCATGTTATTGTGAATTTCTTCGGTATGACTGTTCGAAAAAGAGACAGACTTTTCTTTGATAGATTGTCGTTTTTTTCAAAAAATGTTGGGATACTCCGTTAAATCTAACGTTCATAAGTATATTATATTGACCTCGCTTTGTCTGTCACCATCTTCAAATTTATATATTTCTAGTAAATAATGTCGAACGACCTTATCACTCAAAAAGTGTCCCAGCTCGTGATTGATCTAAAAATACGCGCCTATATTTTTAGTTCGAAAATGAGCTGCCAAAGCAAACTTCATAACTGAATGAGGAGATTACATGTAATTGCAGTTTCTGGCTGGAATCCAACTGAAGCGACATCTACAGGGTGGCGCTGCCACATAAAAACCATGTACAAAAATGAATCTGTTAAAGATTGTAAAACATTAATTAATTGTATATTTCTAATATGTCAGTGAAGAGGAAACTCGTTTTGTCGATTCCATAAACAATATTTTTTAAACAAAATCATAAATATATGTTTGGAGCACTTAGTTATATCAGCTCATTTTATATTTCTGAAACCAAAGCAGGGAAAAAATCGAATTTATGAAATTTGGTTTCGGTTTGCACATCCTCGAAAGTAATACTTTAGAAAAAGAAGTCGGATATAGATACTCGAATATTTTCTTCGTACAACCGTTGTTCAAAAAATATGGTTTAAGTTTGTTTCAATAAACTGTGGGTTCAAGTCTCACTGACGGATGACAGATTTTGATTTTAGAATTGAATAAAAAACAGTAACAGGAAGTATTTTAGAATGATTTTAGGTTGATTTCTGTTACGGAATTTAAGTATATTACCCTCATTTGGAATATCATTCACAAATTAATCTCATTTCGAAATATTACTGATATGTTATATGAAAAGAACGGTATTCTTATCACGAGAAATGGTAATTCGAATGATTTACGATAAATTTCATCAGTCTCACGAAAAATGATAACATTTTCAGCTCGTTAAATAACATACTAATATTGGGATAACATTTTAATCTTGTTTTTTCAACATTCCAGAGATTTGACAAAATTTTTGTAATAGGTGATTAATCGATATATTTTCTAATATCTGTTTAATTTTTTGTTGTATTGTCAAGATTCAGATTATAATGCCTAATTCGAGGCACTATAATTCAATTTTATATTTTTATAATGTACTCAAATTAAGCAATTCTTTTGATTCATGTTTATTTTTTCATTCTCTATAATTTAGGTGACAAACACTTTTTCCAGAATTCCGAAAAGACTAAAGAATATATTTTTGTTGAGCCCCAAACAATTGAGACTTTTACAAAGTTCCGATTAGTGAATTTTTGAAAAAAATTAAATTAAATTCATGTACAATAAAAGTACACAGTTTCGACAACATGTTTCAGTCTGCATTTTCTTTTGGTTTGGTACATAATCAGCTTTCATTATTTTCTCAAAGGGATATGAGAGGCTTAAATGCATTAATTACTAGAATAGCATCTATATTGATGTATTTGATTCATCCTTATATTCTTTAAAAAATCAACTTATTGACCTACTATGAAGAAACTGCTATCGATTATTATTAATGATTGATATTATCATATTCTTGGTATTTTGTATTATTGTTTGATTGCTTATTTTTTTCCCACACTATTTATATGCTTATTGTAAAATGGCAAGTTCCTAAATGAATGAATAAATAAATAAATAAGTATTAAGCCCCTATTCTTTTTTTCAGTAAAACCGTTGTTCATATTGTTCCGTCTAGATAAATTAGTGCCTGATTATACATATTTCATACTAATGAACAAAACAATATAGTTGAATTGAATCAGGCAAAAAGTAGTGATTGGTAATTCATACCATTTAATGAAAATTTTGACAAACATAAATTTGAATTGAAATGGCATTTTTGTTTTATGAATACTGGAAAAAACCTTCAGACAAGAAATTTCGTTGTTATTTGTTCAAACTATGCCACATAAATGAGAAAAAAGCAAGAAATTTTGGTTTTAGGACAAAAAATTGTTCTTATATTTTCCATAAAGAAATAACCTATTTCTTTTGCTGTTTCATTTACTGTTTGGTTCAATCACTTTTATCTATATCACCACTTTCCGGGTAAATCATTTACAAAACTAAACCCTATTTACCTGAGAAAATCATCATATTTGATTTGGAGAAAAAATAAAAAATGAAAGTGATATTTAAGAAAACTGAAAGAGAAGTACAGATTAGAATTAGTGGTTTTTAATGGCAAAAACATGTAGAATTGAGTGAATTATAATGAGTTTCAATTACCCATAAATGAACAACCACAACACTTTTTTGTTCCATTTTTGAAAAATGCGAAAGATTCAAACTGCAAAATGAATTAGTGTTNCCTAGAATTTCCAGGCTACATCTAACATGACCACGTAGGCAGCTAGACGTAGATGTAGCCTTATCATAAACATTGAAACTCTTCAGATTAGTGTCTAACATTAAACAACTGAAGTGTCTCTTAGTGAACGCTGCTGTCAGTAGACCCCGTGTTGTCGCTACTCCTAATAGAGAAATCAGAGTCCCCTAAAACGATTCAACAAAATTCTCTTTTCTCAATGTCTTTTCCTCCTATTTTTGTTTAAGATTTATTATTCTTATTTGTATCATTTTATAGAACGGATGAGACACTATGGCTAATATTGCATTATTTGCTGCAAAAACTTTTGATACCTGACATCTAACATATTCTACAAACACTTTATTGTGTGATTTTCACTAGATAGTTTTACAAAAACGCAACACGTGTTTCGCCATACAATAGCTTCCTCGGGCGTGTCTTAATAACTAATTCTACACATTAAATGCTATATATACCTTATTCTACAATTTGAGGTACCTGAATTTCAAGTACCTGATTTTTTACCTAAGTTTGTAATCAATTTAATTACCTGAGCTTATGTTCCATTTTTCACATTTGAAAAAATATTCAGTAACGGAAAGTTATTTAATTCTAATTGATCATTCAGTAAATTACCCGAATTCCTGAATCTATTGATTTCTAAACATTTTAGAAGATTGAGTTTCAAACTTTTCTCTTCTAAATGTAACACATCGTATTCCTGATTGAACTCATGTCCTTCTGCTAATAGGTGGTTTGCATATGTGGAATTGGTCTTTCTATTTAGAAAACTGCTGCTTCTATGCTCTTCAATTCTTTGGGAAAATGTTCTTCCAGTTTGACCAATATACAGTTTTGGACAAGAGCCACAAGTCAGCTTAATACTCCTGATCTATCCAACAACGAAGTTTATTAAAAACAATAAAAACAAAAATAAACAATAAAGACAAAACTTCGTTGTTGGATAGATCAGGAGTATATAAGCTGACTTGTGGCTCTTGTCCAAAACTGTATATTGGCCAAACTGGAAATCTGCTTCGAAATTTTGACTTCAAACTCAAAATTTCAACTTCAATCTCAAAATTTAGACACAAAATTCCAATATAAAATTTGAAATTTCGACCGATAACTCGAAATTATGACTTTAAACTTGAAATTTCGACTCGAAATGGCGACTTTAAATTCGAAGTTTGAACTCGAAATTACGACTTAGAACCTGAAATTACGACTTCAAACTCGAAATTTTGACTCTATTTTCGAAATTTAGATTCAAACTCAAAATTTCAACTTCAAACTGGAAATTTTGACTGTTTCTTGAAATTACGACTTTGAATTCGAAATTTCGACTCTGATCTCGAAATTTTGACTGTTAAATCGAAGTTACGACTCGCATTTTGAAAGTTCAACTTTAATGTCAAAATTTTGACTTCAAATTCGAAATTTCGACTTTGGATCCGAAATTATGACATCAAACTCAAAATATCGACTTTGATCTCGAGATTTCGACTTTAATCTCAAAATTTCAACTCAATCTCAAAATTTTAACTCTGCTTCGGAATTTCGACTTCAAACTCTAAATTTCAACTTTGATCTCAAAATTACGAGTTCAAAGTTGAAATATCGAGATTAAAGTCAAAAATTCGAGAGTAATCTCGAAATTTCTCGTTTAAAAATGAAACTTAGACATTAAAGTGGAAATTTCGCCTTCAAAGTCGAAATTCAGAGAATGAAGTCGTAGTTTCGAGTAAGGGAGATGATATCTCTCCTTACGAAGACGCCATGTATGTGATCGACCGAGAACGAAATAAAATTTTGAAATATTCGTCTCTCTCAACTATCTACACAGTAGGTGGGGTTTTGCACACGAAATGGAGCTGTTTCTAGTTAACTATCTTTCTCTTAGACGAAGATTTCATACATGCACTCGAACCTGCTGCTGGATAAACAAGAAGCATCTGCGAGACTCACCTCTGTGACGTATCTTGCTAAAATATATGTCGGGTATAATTCAATATCCAGCGAGGTATTAGCCAGGGAAGTAGTTGTTTTCCGCTAGGCATTTACCAGAACCTGATTCCCATATCTTGATGTGTACTCAGTATTCTCCAGATATCTTGATGCCTCAACTTTTACACATCTTTCCTAACCCGTATGTTATTCCATGCTACATAGTTTTTCCGAATTTATATCTGTCATATCATGATTGTCAATATCGCCCACATGAGCAAAAAACTAAACAGGGCCAAGAACTTAACCTTGTGGATCTCTTATCTCGGAGCGTGGATGTTTGTATCAATTATTCTTCAAATAAAATGAATTACAATAACGTTTATTCGAAATCAGACTATTCGCTCTTCAGATTTGGGTTATTGTAGGAATGGATAGATAAAATACAGTAGAGGTAGGAAACCGTAATTTTTTTAAATCAAAAGTGAATGTTTGTCATGATACTTATTACAGCTTTCCAGAAAAATTATAAACCATTTTCTAAAATATGAATTCCTTCCACCGAGATAGTCATCCTAACCTAGAAATCCTGGTGTACTTCAAGTTATACCAAAAACAATCTGTCTATCTATGATTCTAATACTGTTCCTAAGAGATTCCGTGGATTACCACTACATATAATGAAACTAGTTAGTGTCCTCTTTCGCTAGTACTATCCATTAAGAACAATCAACCAACAAAATATATTATATTGATATAAGTGATATCTAAACGAACACAATCTTACGGGCGTAGGCGCTGGAACAAACCACCAAAAATTCTGGTTTTTGAAAAAAAAAACGATTGGTTTGTCCAGTCCCCTTTTCAAAAATCGACACCTGCAAAACTGTTTTCGTGACGAGCGACAGATCACGAAATTCGTTAATTTGGAACGGTCGCTTCGAATTTGCTAACATTTAAACTAGAATTTTCTAACCTCACAATTATTTTTTCGATATTCTCTAATATTCAGATTGTTATTTTTCTTTGGCTTATGATTTCCTAAATACTAGTCAGATATTGTAGATCAAATCTTCGTCAGCTTAGGCTGTAACAAAACAGAAAATACAATTTAATAATTTGAATTCTATGATGGGAAATGACAAGTGACAGAGTTTTGGTTTCAAACTGACTGATATTTTCGAGTTCTCTGAATCGTCCGTAGTCGTTAAGATATCTTAAACGGATATATTAGTTGCAGGTAATGTTGTAAATAAACGGGCAATTCAAGAACAATTCAAATTATGTCAGAGGAATTTGACACACATCAAACAACGAATCTGTACAAACTATAGTATAACAATTTTCAACTGAAGGTAACTCATACACAAATTGAACTGAGAGCTAAGCAACGATGTTAAATGTTAGAACTAAATTCTTACCGGGGTCATTTTTATTGTCTATGCATCACCATTGTAAATAATTGAAAAGTAAGATGATTCCATAAAATTTGCCCCCCCNTCCGAGGACATGGTTAAGGCCGAGCTTATGAGTGTCAATAAACAGCATCGTGACAGATATCGCCAGCATGTGGTGGATACAATAGCTCGTGCTGAAGGCATCACCATTTTGAAACTTCCTCTTTACCATCGCAAATTAAACCCGATGGAATCAATCTGGGCTCAAATTAAGGGTTACGAAGCTTGTGAAAACGTGACGAATTAATGATGTCCAAAGTTTATTAGAACTCGCAATGGAACGGATACGGAAAGAAGATTGGGCTAATGCTGTAGCCCATGTTTTCGACCAAATAATAATAGATTTAAGTGTGACTGGGGATTCCTCTTCGGAAGCGTCAATGGATTCTGAAACTTCATAAGCATAACACATTTAATTATTTCCTTGCATTGTAGTTCATTTTCTATATAAGAGGAACATAATGCTTATTTTGTAAATTTTCCTGTTTTTTTAAAGTACTGTATTAGGCATAATAGGAAAATGTAATCAGTTTTACCATTGACACCAGGTAGCGCCACCTACTATAACAATTTTGTGTTTAAATGAATGAATATTATTTTGGTACACCTCTGCAGAGTTGGTAAGAGGATTATCTGTTGGTCACTTCAAGTGCGACGTTGCTAACAAATCACCTTCAATTGAAAATTGTCATAGTATAGCACAGGACATGAGGTTGTTGGAATGAGTGTCATTAAACGATTAATGGAAAATCACAACACATCCATGAGGCTGCAGACTTACAACTCAAACGCCACTCAAGTAGCAAAATATGTATTGAGAAAAAACTTGCTAACAAATCGGCTGCTCCATATCGAAACACAGTAACTGACATGTATACGAAAAAATCGGTTGCATGTTCATTTGTAAATACGGTGTTTGAACGGGCTATTCATCATCCACTGGTTTCGGAGATACAGCATAATCAATATAGAGCATCTTCACCTATTCCACCTTTTTCTGGCTTGTTCGACAAATCATCAATTTTTCACATTCTGTGTCTTGGCATGAAGCAGCATATTTCTGTCATGACAATTGACAGTTCGAAGTGACATGTGTCGATTCCATGTCAAATACTAACTCGAAACAAATGATAGAATCAAAAAGCCTCACTTATCGTACATACCGACGTCATCTTGCACCTTCCTGCGTGCTTGGTGTCGATAACGTAGCCCTGGCGACACGCGTCTTGCATCATGTGGCACCAGCTGTAGTATGTGCTGTTGTTGCTTGCGCAGATGGGCCCGCGCATCGCGTTCCTCGGTAGGCAACTCTCCGAGCAGCTGGCGCATCGCGGCATGCCCGTTTTCGAGTCCTTCAAGCAGGATTGGTCCTGTCGGCATCGCACTTTCGTGCAAGTCGCGTGAGCTGGAATCAAAAATAAAAGTGAGGATATGATGCAATGCTATATTTGCTTATCAATTCGAAGAAGAGAGAATTGGAAATTTTTGATAAAATTGTTGATGAATTTTATTAGTTCGGACTTCCATTGTCTAATATGATTCGGAATCTATGAAAGAAGAAATAAAATTAGAATGAATAGCTCAAATATCAATTATATTGAGCAATAAAACGTGAAACGAAAATACAATGGACGGAACAAAATAATCAAGATACAAAATAAAAATTACCACAGACTGAAAGGGAATCAAAAATTGAAAAAAAATTCAAACCAAGTTACTTCACGATGTTTCGAATATTAGTATCCACAATCGTCTTCGGGTCATGACTGGACTACCTATTCCTCTCTTCCGTTTCATCGGTTTAGCGGGAGTTTACCGTTTTCCGCTTGATTACAGGTTTCCATATATTGCGTGTCTCTACGCTAGTTTGGCTGATGCGTCATTGCACAACATATATACAGATAATACCCAAAGAGGAACCAGTGTTCCTCTTTGTGTATTATCTGTGCATGGGACCACTCAATGTTATGTTCAAACATACTCTGCTATTCCTGATTTGCTGGTTTCTCTTCGCTGGGTATTTTCCTTGTGCTGGATAATGCGGCCTTTCAATCGCCTCTTGGTTTAACCGATATAGGATTTGCCGTACTCACAGGGTATCCGGTAAATACTATTCTTGGAATCGCGGTCCGTGTTTGGTAGCCTAGTTTTCGTGAGGCTGCTGCGGATGGTGTTCCCAAATCTGAGGCAGGTTCTGATGTTGTATTTGGACCCAATCCTTCTTATACTTTCTGATAATCCTCTGACGTAGGGAAGTATAAGCACTGGTTGTAACGACTTCTCTGTCTTGCAAGGCTCTTGCTGTCCTCTAGCCAAACTCTGTTCTACCATCACATCTACCATTCCGTTGAAGATCCGTTCCTTCATATTACAGAACCCTAAAACACGATTCATTAGAGCCTTTTGGTAGATTAATGGTGATTGGATTCGTGATTCAGAGGTGGGTTTTCGGTATACAGATGTTTCCCACTTAGTATTGGTCCTCTGCATATTCAGCATTAAACAACCTCGTTGAGAAAATCTCCCAATCCTTTGACAACAAGGAGATTGCGGTTGCTGTATATCTTGATATTGAAGAAGCATTTGACAATGCACTACCGATATCTATAGGATTGTATCTGGCTAGGAAGGGTATAGAATCGACCTTAACTGGCTGGATCTATGCCATGCTGGTAAACAGAACTGCAACTACGACTCTTCAAGGCGAGGCTATCAGGTTCAGGGTCATCAGGGGCTGCCCTCAAGGTATGGTACTATCTCCCCTTCTGTGGTTGCTCCTGGTGGATAGTCTGCTAGATGCCCTCGACAGAAGAAAAGTTGATCTGCAAGCATAGGTATGCAGATGACCTTGTCATCCTGGCAAGGTCCACGTCAGTAGCTTGTAATATCCTCCAAAGCGCGTTGGACGTTGTTCACAGTGGGTGTCTGGGGAAGCAGATGTCTGTCAACCCCAGCAAATCTGTGTTAATCCCCTTCGGAGAAGAAAATTGGACGATCTAACGCCACTTTTCCTCAATGGTGTGGTTATTCCATTTGGAACGGAGGATTTGTAGTAAAACTTGGGGTTTAGGTCCCGAACAAATCCATTTTACTTAATTTTTATGTGGAAATTGTCAGACCAATGATCACTTATGGTGCAATTACTTGGTGGCCGAAGGCTTTACAGAAAACGGCCCAAGTGAAGCTCTCTGGCTTACAGAGACAGGCTTGTCTGGCTATCAGTGGTGCCATCAGTTAGCGGCCATGGATATCCTTCTAGATTTACCTCCTCTCCATATTTTTCTGGAAAGAGAGGCTAGATGGACTGCATACAGACTTGTGCACATTGCCAATCGCACAATCAATTTAACGCAGAGCGCAACAGACTGTTGGTTGACATTGGAAGTCACAGCATTCTGGAAATGGCCTCTGACTTTATGCCTCCAACTGTCAACTACGAACTGTCTTATAAAGTACTGTTCGAGTAGAGAGGACTGGATCCTCCGGGAGGAGGAAATATTAAGAGCAGATAGTTGTTGGTTCACAGATGGATCAAAAAACCTTCCGGTTCTGGTACTGGTGTTTTCAGTCGCAGACCCAGGACAGAGCTATCTACCCGCCTAGGAACTTATGCGACTGTATTTCAAGCGGAAATTTACGCTATTGAATTATGTGCGGAGAGATTGGATAAATCCAACCTCACTCATTAATCAATAAAAATATTCTCGGACAGTCAAGCGGCGTTGGAAGCTCTTGGCTCCTACCAAGCAACGTCTAAATTAGTAGCAAACTGCCAAAAACGACTCTCTTCGATAGGAAGACTTAACAGATTGTCTTTGGTCTGGATCCCTGGCCATACTGGGATGAACTACGATGTCTAACAGGCCTTCTTACAGATCACTGTCATTTGAATCATCATATACAGATACTTGGACTGTCGGAAGACAGTGAGTGTGGCCTCTGTCTGGAAAATGATAAAACAGCAGAGCATATCCTTTGTGCCTTCCCCGCTGGGGACCGAATCAGGTTCTTTGAGTTCGGCAGATCCGTACTTTCACCATCTGACCTGAAATACCACTCAACATACAAACTAATCGGCTTCGTTAAGAAGCTGGGTTTATTTGGCCGAGTGTGAATAGGTGTGAGCCACAATGAACCCTTNTAGATTAGAAAATTTAAATAAATTCCCGAGAAAACCAAATAGACCAATTTTTCAATATGCTACTAGTACGAAATATTTTCCCTTTTTTAAGTTTTTAGTATAACTCTTGAAGTAGAAACTTTTAGATATCAATTTTGTTTCTTTAATACATCAATTTTTTTATAATTTGAGACCGAAACAAATTCACAATCTTTAGATTGCTTTATTTTGGGAAATAATAGCTTTATAGATCTGATTTTGGCCTCAAATTACAGCTAATTCAATCTTCTTCAGGATATTTATTCTGAGTAATCAAATTTCATCATTTATGTGAATATTCTGTAGAAAAGAAGAAAGCCATCGAAGACGTAAGTTTCAGATACAAACTGGAGGAAAACCCTCAAGAAACAGCTACTTTCATATACGAGTAAACATTGAATTACTTTCGAAACAACTACTTTTATTTGCATACTGAATTCAACAAACACACTTTTTTCTAATTCAGTTTGTATTCCAAGAAAACGTTATGTAAGTGAAATTTTACCTCTTTTTTTTACTATATATGCCCAGGCAAAGCTCTCTGGCTTACAGAGACACGCTTGTCTAGCTATCAATGGTGCCATCAGTACCACACCGTTAGTGGCCATGGATATCCTTCTAGATCTACGTCACCTCCACATTTTTCTGGAGAGAGAGGCTAGATGGACTGTATAAAGACTTGTGCACACCGCCAATTGTACAAATCAATCTAATGCAGAGTGCAACAGACTGTTGGTTGACACTGGAAGTCACAGCATTTTGAAAATTACCGCTGACTCTATGCCTCCAACTGTCAACTACGAACTGCCTAGATGGATCAAAGACACCTTCCGGTTCCGGTGCATGTGTTTTTAGTCGCAGACCCAGGACAGAGATATCAACTTGCCTAGGAACTTGTGCGACTGTATTTCAAACGGAAATTCACGCTGATGAATTGTGTGTGGAGAGATTGGAAGAATCCAACCTCATGGAATTGGCTCCGGTGGTAGTGCGCCTGACTCACGATCGGAAGGTCGTGGGTTCGATTCCTGCCTCGACCAGATATTTTTCTCGAGATAATTTATCTGGTTCAAGCTAGGATGATTCTGCAACCGTCTTAGGAATCACACGTTGAAAGGTAAGCCCTCGTTAGTCCTCAGCTCGCACGTTTCTCGAATTCTGAGAGTTTTTTTCATACACAAGTCAATAAAAATATTCTCAAGCGGCGTTAGAAGCTCTTGGCTCCTACCGAGCAACGTCTAAATTGGTAGCAAATTGCCAAAAACGACTCTCCTCCATAGGAAGACTCAACAGATTGTCTCTATTCTGGATTCCTGGCCATACTGGCCTGCTGACTCCCTTGCAAAGAAGGATGCTGCAAGCAGCTTCATTGGACCAGAACCTGTCATTGGCATCGCTGTAGGCTTTGCCAAACAAAAATTGAACACCTGGATGGCAAGAAGAATTATAGACTTCTGGCAGAATCTTCCAAGTTTGGCTCACTCTAAGGCGTTTATTCACCTTTCGAAGCTTGATACCAAACAGTTGGTGGACTTCGATGAGAAGCTGGGATCATTTCGTCGAGTCTGAATTGGTATGAGCCACAATAAACTCTTGAAGGTTGTGGTGGAGGGTCGAATAGAACACTCACTTTGGACCTAACCTAACATAACTTATATGCTACATATCTACTACATATGCTATATATTATGTAGCAATCCTGTGAATGATATCTGATTCAAGTCCACAAAGAATGTTCAGAATACAAAAAAGAAAGTGTTTTTATATAATTCAGTGTTCATATGAAAGTATTCATTTTGTAATTCATGTAACTCCATGTTTATATGAAATTAGTTGTTTCAAGAGGGCTGTCCTTTTCAGTTTGTGTCTGAAAGTTAATTTTCTGCATGATCTACACAACTTTGTTTAGAATTGATTTTTGATATTATAATATGAAAAAGTAGAAAGCCAAAACATTTCTTTCGCAAAAATCAATCTGTCCTGAAAATAAACGCCTTTCGAATCGTACCGATTCCATCAACAGTACAAACGGAATTGTAGCGATTATACAGATTTTTGCTGAACTCATTGACTGGTCTGACAACTCCTAATGTATCAAGGAATGAAATATTTCGAAATAAAAACCAATGACAGTGTGAATTCCTTTTTTTTTCAAAAATAGGTACTGATTATTCGAAAGAGTTTTTGTCATCTGATATGACTCATTTAAAGCCTTGATCGTTCTTCGCCAGGAGAAATCGAATAAAAAAAAAAACAGGTTAGTGGAATGGGAAAGGAGTTGAAGTAGAATTGAAACTTTCTTGTATTTTTTCGTAAAGAAAAAATATTTTGAAAAAAAAATTCTACTCACTTTGACATGTGCCTTTGTAAGCGACCGCAAGGGAATGGGATTTACGGCGACAAGACATTTTTCTTAACCTACAAATGTTTCGATAGCTGCGCCCATCAGTTCCGCAGACAGGAGTCTTTCGTCGGCTCTTTCCCACCTTGCATTTGGAGGCGCAAACGCATTTTGGAGTTCCTTTCCTCAACACGCAAGTTTTACCCACTTCGCACGTTACGCCTTTGCAAGAATCTGAAAGAATAGTTTCACTGTACACTGTTCACAGTAATCAAAATATGGCTGAAAGAGTGTATCGTCTGAAATTGATTTCTTCACTACATGGAATATTTCCAAGCTACTGTTTCAGTACAACAATTTGTGGCGCAGTAGGTTACAGTTTCTCAGTATGTGAACCTGAAAATCATTCAGGGTGCTTACCTCGGCATGAAGAGCACCGTACGCCACCTCCCAAGATCCTCCAGAAAAACAGCGTTCCAGAATCAAGTTCTTCCGCCGACCAAGACGTCGTAACGGATCTTCCCGAGCAGCAGTCTTCTTTGGAAATTTTTTGCTGAAGCAGCTCAGTACATCGACCGTTGCCGTTGCGAACCATGGCTGACCAGCAAGTACCAGCTGAAAAAAAACAACAATATCAAATGTTTGCCACAGAAATGGACGTGAAAAGAAAGCAAACTGCTTTATATCTACACATGAGATGAAAATTCCCGTGTCTAAGAATAGAAACGCGTTTTTTGTTCAGAATGGGCTTTATTTATCAACGTAATCTCTATCAAGAGCTACACAATCATTTCAGCCTTCTAGCTCGTGAATTATAAGAGGATCGATAGTATCTTCAGGCATTTCGAGGTATATATTGCCAGTCGAGTTTTCTTCCAGAAATAATGGATCAATTATGGCATTTTCAACAATACCTGCCTAAACAATAACTTTTTGTGGGTGTTGTGTATGCTCTTCCTGAAAAATGTGTGGGTTTTCGTCACTCCAATAGCGACAATTTTGTCTACTAACATTGCCATTGAGAAAAAATGTACACCCATTGCTGAAACAGATGTTAAACAAAAGATTAGGGATGGTTTCGACAACGAAATTCAGAAATAGACTGAAGTCGTTCGTTTTGTTCGACCATTGTGTTTTTATACACTGAATGAATATTTTAATCTTTTTGTCTCATGATTACTCATATTTTATCTGAATATTTGTATTTGTTCCACCTCGTATTTATTTATTTGCTTGTTTTATATTGAATATGTGTATGTGCTTTGACAATTCCTATGCGAAATGTAAATGTTCGTCATATAATGAAGGAAATAAAGAAAGCTAATCTAATCTAATGAGACATAATTCCACAAAACTCCATTCTTCTATCATAATTATCCTCGTGGAGTTCTTGAAGAATCTGCATTTTCTAGGGATAACATGTATGCATTTCCAATACTTTTTTTTCAGTCTCGCGTGACATTCCCGTCTGGAGTAAGTGGGCTCTGCAGCAAATGCTCCCAAAACTTCAATTTGAGTTGATGTTTCATTTAGTACTCTGAGGTTATTTCTTTTTTTATTTGTCACTGAACCAGTTTCGTAAAACTTATTCACTAAATCGAGCACACTGGTGACCTGCATTACAATTTGGATGTCTTTCGTTAAAAACACATGCTGCCCTTCGTGCGCTCTTTCCAACTTCTCCATAAATTACAATCATTTCAATTTTGCCTTGAAGAATGTAAACCATTTTTACACTTTCATACACTTATTAAAGTAATCACTAAACAGTGCAACATGTACAAATGTATGCACAATACTACCACATCGTTCAGATTTGCCAACCAATTTTTTGCCTGATAATAGAAACTTTTTACAGCAGAAGTACCAAAGAGGACGGCTATCTATACACTTTCTGCGATGAGAATTAAAAATTCAAAATTTATTAGACACAACCATCTACGTTTTATTATCAGACTACTTTTTGATGTAAATTGAAGCTAATGGCTAATGTTACCCCTAATGAAGGGTTCAAACGGTACCACCTAATATTCTTAACAGTTCTGGTCAAACCATGCATTTCAGTATAGGCGTACTAATAATTAGATAGACATATACTTTATTGTCCAAGAAAATAAAATCTTATTGACAAAGCTTTTTAAAAATCTGGTATATATATATATAGCACTTCAAAGAATAAAATAAAACAGACAATTCAAAAACACAAATACCCAGAAACACAATTTGAGCAAAACTAAATTCACATATCTAATAGATAAAATGTAACAATAGAAAATAAAATTTAACAAAGTTCGTAGACAAAATAGTTCGTGTCGTCCCTTTCAAAAGATGTAAATAACAAATATACAAATTTGAACATAAGTTCACTTGTCATGGTAATACAATAAGATATATCCTAGTATAAAATTAAATTTAAAGTATAGGTGTCAATATAAACAACAAAAAAAAACACATATATTAAATCATAGCAAAGTTCCATTGTAATATTCCTAAAGATTGTAGTACGTATTAGTTGCAAGGACATCTTTAAGAAGGTTTCTGAACTTTTTATAGCTTTTTCCTTCCTAATTTCTTAAGGTATGTGNTTACAACGGAATATCCCAAGGTAATATAACCCGTAAATGAAAAATTAAAATGTAAAATTTTATCAGAGCATAGAATTCCACTGTGAGATTATATAAGAGTGTAAAATTCTACTGTAAAATTCTGTCAAGAGTGTAATATTTCGGTATAAATTTGTATCGCAAATTTACCCTATGAAGTTTAATTTCAACACAAAAGTACACTCAAAATGAAAAATTACACTGAAGAATTCCACACTTGTCTTCGGGGTAGAATTACAAAATAATATTCCGCAATTGAATTGCCGCCGGTACCGGTGGAATTTTTTTTATCAGTGCAGGAATAAATAAATATTTTTTGAGATAAATGAAAAATAACCCCATTTTTTAACACACCCCATTTATACCAGACAAAGTAAGTAAGAAAATAAGAAAGAAAAATATATTAAACGACAGAATTATAACACCCCAAAAATTACATCGAGCAGGCAGCAAAAATCCAATATCTTCCCTTATTTCCAAAAAGATGACTCACGTTGCCAGCCACCAATTTCCAACGAGATAGTTATTCCTCTCCAGTCAAAATTTCTCCACCTTCCACCAAGTACTTATCATTCACCTCGAACCTCATCGATTGTATTCCCTTCGCATGATTCATTATACCGATGATTTATTTTCGGAAAGCAGATTCCAGCTCGTAAGTACATTCACAAATCGTTCATACAAGCTTCGAGATGGCTATCGCCGTACGTGACGAGAGATTTCAACGATGGGTAAGGAGAGATTTCACTTGGAGATTCGATACGTCGGGTCGAACAGAACAATATTTTCTTGCGGATTGCATGGAAAATTATCGCGTCGATTGTCAATCGAGTAGGTACGTGTTGCTTCACAACAACAAAGGGGTGTGTCGATGAGTTGGCGATAATGCGATTTCAGGATGGTTTTCCAATGAGATAGATGCGTTGATGTTAGATGGTTTAGATGGATTTTATTCAAAAATTTACATAGTATTTATTTGTCATGGGCGCAGGGTCGGGTTGGAAGGGGGCGGGCGGGGCTACTGCCCCGGGGCTTCCACAGGAGAGGGGCTCCCACAATGAAGATAAATATTTCAAACTTTATCGCGGGTCTACAACTTCGGGGGACCGGAGGCACGTTGTTACAATTTTTAGATAATTGTCAATATGACAATAGCTATCAAATGATCAATAAATTTGATTGCTTTTACCGTTAGTATGTCAGCTATTAAAATATGACTGAAAAGTTATTGAAATTTATGAAATTTTTTCTCAATAGATAACACACGCCAACAAAAATTTGTTTTGGATACTTTGTTTTCTTTAATAGCTAATTTTTATAGATTTTTGTGTGCTGAATCCAAACCTGAACTTAGTTTTTTTTTTGTATCACCCATAGTTTTTGATAAATTGATTTTTTTGTATATCATTTAAAATCTGTACGGTATATGGTAAAATTAATTAAATACTATATAGATCACTCTCATGATTTTCATTTACAGTAGGTTACTTGAAATAATGATACCAGTATTGTAATGTAGGTTTCACTAGTCAGATGGAATTGGTTTATACTTCCTTTCTCTTTTTTCTTTGAAGTTTCTTGTGTAGCTTTTCCTGCGATGATTCGCTTGCTGAGCTTCACGGTGAAGTGACCAACAGTACTCTCCCATCATGTTGATGTCACAGCGGCCCTGGTAACGTTTTCCCATCAATTTAATATCTTGGTGAAAACGCTCACCCTGCTCCTCACTAACATCTCCCAAATTTTCCGGGAAGTAATCAAGATGACTGTTCAAGAAGTGGACTTTTAGGCTCATCAAACATCCTAGTTTCGCCGGGATTTAAAGACTCCCTCACTGGCCAGTTCTTTTTGCAGCAATGGTGATCCCTTGCTCTACTGTCCCATTCACACAAAAAAACATGGAAATTTGGTAAAACCACCTTGCTGACCAAGATGCATGCATGTTACTTTCAAGTCACCACATACCATCCAACCATGAGCCGAATAGCCAATTTTATTCAACACATTTCTAGGTTTTCATAAATCTTTTTCATATGTACAGAATGACCAACAGGTATAGATGCATAAGTGTTACTATTGTGTAATAAAACAGCTTTCAAACTAGTTTTGGAAGAATCAATAAACAGCCTCCAGTCTTTTTGCATTCAACACCAAACTCTTCAATCAGACCTGGAATGTCTGAGCAGTAAACTAAATCACCTTCCTGTTTAAAAATTTTCGAAAACTGCTGCTCTCTCTTCCTATACACATATATGTTAGTTCCAACTGCCAAAAAGTTCTTTTCTTTTACTCTAGAATCAAGCAATTCAGCTTTTTATTTTGTTAACCCAAATCCCTAACTAAGTCGTTAAGCTAACTAAGTTTAGGCTCTATATTTGCTATAGCACATTGCTATAGCACATTGGAACTCTTCATCATCTTGCTCATCTAGATCTAACAGTACATCAGAAAACATTTTAGTTTGAACATAATTCAAATCATCTGGAAGTTCTGGGACCAGCAAATCTACATCGTGTCCTACAGGTCGGATGGCGGAAATTAGGTTAGGGTCGTTTATTAGCTTCGCATCTTCGCTCGTTTTCGAGGACTTTCCTTTACCCTTTCCCTCATTTTTGACACACGTTTTTTTTGTCTTGGCTAGTTTTTCTTCATACTCTTTTTTTAATTAGTCGTTTTCAGATGGGTTAGCACAGCGAATTTGCGGATTTCAATAGCATTTCCAACTTAAATCTTATTTTGGAAGTTGAAAAATAGGAATCAGTATTGTATCATTTCATACAGTGATCATTCGCACATCATTGAAATTTCCATATTATAATTCCATGAACACTCATGTAACTTTACGACTGTTTAAAAAAAAATCTGTTTTTCCGTTAACCAGCTGTCGCACCCCTACGAACGACAACCCTCAGAAGTAGAAACTTGTGCGAGCAAAGGATTAACGAGGTCTTACCTTTTAACGTGTGATTCCTATTTCCTAATGAATAGGTATATTCACATAAATCATCGTGT